ATCCTTGTAAATTCCAGGGATTTTCCCTTGCACCAGATTTTTACCTCCCACACCTCATTAAGAAGTCTTTCATTACTCTCCCCTGGGCTGGGCGTTGGTGGTGCATGCCTTTAATTCCAGCACTCCGGAGGCAGAGGCAGGTGGATCTCTGTGAGTTCAAGGCCAGCCTGGTCTACAGAGTGAGTTCCAGGGCAACCTCCAAAGCAATACAGAGAAACCCTGTCTCGAAAAACCAGAAACAAAAACAAAAACAAACAAAAAAGGTGCTTTCCATTACTCTCTCCCTCCATCCACCCCCTCCAACCTAATCTGTGTTCCCATCTTCACCAGCCCCTACTATACCCAGGAGGTCTCTTCTATTTCCCTCCCCAGGGAAATCCACGTGTCCCTCCTTGGGCCCTCCGTGTTACCTCATCTCTCTGAACTATAGCATGGTTGTCTTTTACTTTACAGCTAATATCAACTTATGAGTACATACCATGCTTGTCTTTCTGGGTCTGGGTTACCTCACTGAGGATTTTTTCCTAGTTCCATCCATTTACCTTAAAATTTCCTGATGTCATTGTTTTCAATAGCTGAATAATATTCCATTGTGTAAATGTACCATTTTTTGGTTGAGGGACATCTAGGTTGTTTCCAGTTTCTGGCTATTAGAGATAAAGCTGCCATGAACATAGTTGATCAAGTGTCCTTGTGGAATGATGGAACGTCCTTTGAGTACATGTCCAAGAGTGGTATAGCTGGACTGTAGAGAGATAACCTTTTCCTTGCCAGTGGCTTGATTCCCCCCCCCATTTTTCATTTAACCCTGTCTCAGAGAAAAATAAATAAAAGTAAAAGAAAGTAATAATAGATAAATGAATAAGCCACATAAAGATGGAAAATACACAGAGAGTCTGGATACTGTATGCTATTGTATTTTTCAGTTTTTTGATTGCTAAGGAAGGAACAACTACTAAAGTACACTTGATTATCAATGCTGCTGAATTAATTCAACTTATATCTTTTGAAAATGCCTTGACTTCAAAATTTAAATATAAGGATATGTTACTTTGGACAAGAGTTTTTGTTTATGTTTCTACAGAAAATGAAAAGCTGAGGAGATTCCTTCCAGGCTTCTGTGGTTTGATGAACCAAGACCCCCGGAAGCAGTGGGCCAGGTGTTCCAACAATTGAGACAGCTAAGATGATGGAGCTTTACAGACTACGAAAATGAGGACTTATACAGGTTTTGAGTTTTGTCATGATCCCCAGCACGAAGCAGTTTGGAATGACCGACATCCTAATTCCCGTATTGCTTATAAATCTTTGTTTTCATTTGAATGGGGTTGCTTATAATTGGTTAATGATCACAACCAATCTCTTTTTAAAGGAAAAAGGGGATTATGGTATGGAAATGAGTACTTTGTATTGGTATGGTTTTTCATTTATTGATACAAATTCAAGGTCAATTTTGTGATGTGTATATGTCTCCTCTTGATTAAGTATTGTGTATATACTAATCTTTTAAAACATAATGCATAATTAAATACAGACTATAGATAGTTACTTATAATAGAACTTAGTTAGGTTAGTTAGGTTTTCTAGGTATACAGAGATATATTTGAGATAGACAGTCTTCAAACCTTTCAAAGACCTTCAAAAAATGGCATTTAAAATGGTCTAGGGTTTTTCTTGACAATGGGAAATGTCTGCTCCTGGCAGCACCAATTACGTCTGAGAAAAAGATGGGCATCAAAGAAACTCGTTATGGAGTTTGCTTTCAACATGGCAAGATTAGCCATTTGGGCAAGAAACTGCTCTTGCATAGACTGCTTGACTGTTGTTGTATAAACTGGACATGCAGGACCCACAGGAAAAGGAAAATGACTGCTGAACTCAAACAGTCCCACAGGGTTCCTGCTTCATGGAATAGTCTACAAGACTTTCTGCAGGACACAGAAAAATGAATGACAGACTGCCAATGCAAATGGACAGTTTGAAATTTCCTGCCTTGCTGAGAAGTCTTCCGGACACACTGTGGCCTATGGGCTGAAGATGGATACCCCAACATTACAGAGAAACTTCAGGTGATTGTCCAGGCAGCAAGATGTCTCTGTCAGTCCTAGTGTTTATATATTATCCTTCTGTGGTCTTTGATGGAGTTGAAGACAGATAGTTATAATTATAGTTTTCCTTAGTTATGATAAAAGATAAGCTACATATAGAGCTTTGGACTCACAAGGATGGGATGGATGATATTTTCTTTAAATCTTGCTAAATGTTGATAGACAAAATTCTGTAACTGTGTTTTTGCTTGATAGCTGTTCTGTTATATATAATTTGACTATGTTAAAGTTAAGACCTTTCTTTTTGTTTAGACAGAAAAGAGGAGATGTTGGGGAAGTTCTGTGTATATGTCAATAAAGCACTGTTGGCCAATAGGGAAGCAAGGTAGGTGGGACTAGGAGTCAAGGAGTACTCTGGGTAGGAGAAACACAGAAAGTCAAGATGTAACCGCCATAGGGAGAAGAAGCCCGGAAACTTCTCCGGTAAGAGAAAATACTTAGATTAGCAATTATGGAATAAATACTTAAGTCAGATCTAGCCAGTAAGAAACAAGCAAGGCCAACAGCTTCATAATTAATAAATACAGCGTCTTGTGTGTTATTTGGGGACTACAACACGGCAGAGCCCAGGTGACTGGCGGGTGAAAAACCAAGCTGCTGGCAAGAAAAAGGCTTCTCTCTATACTGGACCTTGAGGTAGATTGATTCCCAATATCCTGAGAAACCTCCATACTGATTTCCAAAGTGGCTGCACAAGTTTGCATTTCCACCAGCAGTGGAGGAGTGTTCTCTTTACTCCATATCCTTTCCAACATAAGCTGTCATCAGTGTTTTTGATCTTAGCCATTCTGACTGGTGTATCTCAGAGTGATTTTGATTTGCATTTCCCTGACGACTAAGGATGTTAAGCTATTCTTTAAGTGTGTCTCAACCATTTGATATTCCTCTGTTGAGAATTCTCTGTTTAGATCTGTGCCCCATTTTTAAATTGGATTATTTGGTTTATTGATGTCTAATTTCTTGAGTTCTTTATATATTTTGGAGATCAGTCCTGAATGAATTGGCACAGGAGACAACATCCTGACTATAACATCAGTAGCACAGACACTGAGTTCAACAGTTAATAAAAGGGATCTCCTGAAACTGAAAAAGGTTCTGTAAGGCAAAGGACACAGTCAACAAGACAAAACAGCAGTCTACAGAGTGGAAAAGGAACTAGTATAGTGGTTTCTTAACCAGGGCTACCTCCCTTGTGCTTGGCAGAACAGAGAAGCCCAGGGTCAGATCTTCCGTTTGGTTTCTGTCCCCTGTTGCAGGATTCTTCTCGGTGTCCCTTTGCCACTTTAGCACCCAAAATAACACATGGAGACTCTATTAGTTACAACATTGTTGGCCAATGTCCAGGGCTTCTCATTGGCTAGTTCTGTCTTAAGTATTAACCCATAATTACTAATAAATATTTCTATAAGGACTTATCTTTCTGAGGATGACATCCTGATGGATCCTCTCTTCCTGGGGATCACATGGCGACTCCCTCCTCTTGACTACATTTCCCAGAATCCTCCTTGACTCCTAGTCCCACCTGTCTTGCTTCACTATTGGCCAACAGTGCTTTATTTATATGTATAAGACAAACACACACACAGAAGGACCTACCTCATCAGTCCCCATCCCTTTTTCCCAGGTATCTAGTGACTTTTATTGTCTCCAGAGGGCCTCTTCCCTTTTCACCCCTGCCACGGCTTTTGCTTTGTCTACTGTTGCTCCTTCAGTTCACAGGATGGACCTCTAAGCCCCTTCCTTCCTCAGCAACTCAGAATGTGATTGTACCTGAGGACAGGGCCATCAAAAGAGTGATGAACTTAAACTGAGGGTGTTGTGGGGCTGGGGGAAAATCTGAATTCACATGACTGGGCTCTGTATACTCAGAGAAAAATCTCATGTTAGGTGGCCAGGAAGGGTGGTACATGTCTATAGGCCCATAATCTCCGTACTTTGGAGACTGAGTCTGAAGGATTGAGAATTCAAAGACCCAGCTTGGCCTATACAGAGAGTTTCTGTCTCAAAGAACAGAACTACAATAAAAAACCCTAACAATACCCTCTAAACCACCCACCTATCCAACCAACTAACCAGAAACAAGCAAAACCCCAAAACCAAGAAACCAAACCTAACCAACCAATCAAACAAACTTTGGACTTCCAGTGTCCAGAACTGAGAAAATACACTTCTGATAATTAAACCACCCAGCCTAAGGCATTTTGTTGTTGCAGCACTAGCAAACAAACACAGCTCTTAACAAAATGCTTCCTGCTACAGCAGCAGGTACTGCATAACGAGGTCTTCAAGGCTTATACATGCATAACAGTCCTCACATGAGGACTGACTACAGTTTCTGAGTTTGTCCTCCTCACATGGGGACTGACTATAGTTTCTGAGTTTGTCCTCCTCACATGGGGACTGACTACAGTTTCTGAGTTTGTCCAGAGGATCCTTATGATGCACTAAGTTTTTTTCACTTAATCTTTAGAGTCCTAGAGGATTTTCATAGGTGAAAAATTCTTGAACCCTAACGTTCCCAGGGTAGTGAGGAGGGCAGCCTCAAGTTCAGCTCTGATTCCATGCCATCATTCTCTTTAATGCAGAGCAGCATGGCCTCACAAGAGAGCCTGGGGTCAGGAGCCACTGTGAAGCTGGGCAAAGTGTTAGGCAGACAGAGCCATGAGTCCGGCTGAAACTTGGAAATGGTGGTTTTGTTTCTGCTTTAACATTCAAGAAAGGTCAATGCTTCTAAAAAACTCCCCACTAAACCCCATGAGGTAGGATTATACCACACTTACATACCACCCTTAAAAGGTCCCCTCATCTATTATACCTGCCTGCATTGAGGGACCAAGAGGGGAGCTGGTATCAGTTCTGGTCTTGGTCAACAGTGACACCTAACCACACTTATTCTTTCAAAAATACATTTTATTAGTGGCATGTGGAATTTAAAGTTAACCAGTTTCTTCCTAGAGAGGAGGGAATTCTCCCATAGACTAAAAAGTTGAGCAGACATGCCATTTTCAGGGTGATGGCAGGTGCACAGGGTGCTCTCACTGAGGAGAGCGCACTTTGCGTCATGCTTGCCATCCTAAACGTTTGATTCAGTGTGGAACTGTCCCAAAGCACTGGAAGTCCACTCTTTTGGTGTCATCTCTCCAGCCATCTGCCAACCCACTGCTGGAGAGGCTGGAAAGGTCACGGGCCCAAGCGAACCCGTGTCAGGACAACTGGGGCTGGGGTCAGGTGGGGTCACCTGTGAGCCAAGAAAAAGCCCCAGACATTAAGAAACCCCAAAGACCACGTTAGTCTACAGCTATGGAGACTCTTCAAGTACCCAGATGTGTGTTGGAGAAGTTTGAGCTTTCTGGAAAGATCCATTTCCCCTCACAGATGAAGAGCTCCTCCCTGCATACCTTGTCAGGTGCTTGTGACTCAGAATGAACTCTAACATTTTGAGCGTCACCTGGACCTGGGTCTTTCTCTCAGACACCTTTCTCCAGACCTTCCCCCACACTCTCCCAGCCTATCCTCGGCAAATTGCTGTTCTCCCAATCCAAAAGGCATTCCCAGCCCAGAGGCAATTCTGTGACAAAAATCTGGCATTTCCCTTCTAGCATGCACAGTGGAGACTGGGAAAGGAGGGTTACCTAAGGCTTCCATCTCCACTGGTTTTAGCACAGGCATCTCCCATCACTCCAGAACTCAACCCTTAACCAAACATTCATTGACTTATTGATCAAGGCAACAAAAGGAGGGACAGACTGCATAAGTTTTCCATGTCTATGTCTAATTGATTAAGCTGGGTCTCCATACCAGGCAGTTCAACTTCACCTCCAGGCTAGCAGGCAGATCACAGTCTTCTGGGGTTTAGTGCAGGTCCCTGGTCCTGGTTTCACAGAGGTCAATGCCAGCCTGTAGCTTGCCATTCTTCACCGCTGCCCAGGGCATGGAGGCAGAGGTCCACTTTGCTACCCAGTCTCCTTCTTTGCTGACCAAGATGAGGCCACCTAGACCTTTGAGCTTTGACTTCATGTAATTCAATGCCAATTCAGCAGCCTCATCTACAGTCTTTCCTGAAAACAAGGAGAGGGCGAGAAACATCACATGTAATAATCTTCACAGGCTCCCAAGTTTGGACACCTGGACACCAGCTGTGTTGCTGCTTTGGGACATTGTGAAATCCATGGCTGGGCTTAAATTTGGTGTCATCTCCAAATTTAAGTGCAAAAAGTGGGTTCTGGGAGAAGGGGTGACTGGCCCTACCTCCTATCCTGTCTGTTTCCTGGTTCACTGAGATATGAGCAGGCAACTGCTGCACATTCCCACTGCCACAAAGCAGCCCACCACTGTGGCCCATACTTCCCAAAGTGTGAACCAAAACAAACATAACTAAGGGGCTCCTTGTCAGGACCAGCAAACTACTACAACATGCATGCTTAAAGGGGACAGAGACATCTTCCCTCTTACACCATGGTCAAGCTCAACCCATGTTGCCTTGTTTTTTGTGATGTGATCGCGAATAGCAGGCATGTACTATGTATGTGCCCATGTGTGTGCCTACACATATGCACTGAAACCAGAGGGCAGCGGGTGTCCTCCTCTATCATGTTCTGCCTTAGTTCCTTGACACAGGTTTTTCACTGAACCTGGGGTTTACTATTTTTTTTCCTACACTGTCATCCAGCAAATCCCAGTGGCACTCCTGTCTCTACTGCCACAGAGCTGAGGTGCCTATAGACACCTACACAGCCATACCTGACTTTTTACATGTCCTTGGGATTTGAACTCAGGTCTTCATGCTTGTGCATTAAGTGTTCTTACACACTGAGGGATTTCCCCAGGCCAGAGAACTATTTTCTAGAACAATATTCTAAAGGTTCTTCTGGTCCATACATTATCCTGCTAGTGATCAAAGAGCATCTATGAACTTGTCTTTACCAGATATGCACTTGCTCACAGCATACATACCTTGTTCTACATGAAAGAGGGCCAGTCTGGCCAGATTCGCCTTCAGGATACTTTCCCCATGTCCTGTGGTTGAAACGGCTCCAAGGTTATTGTCTGCATAACCTCCAGCTCCTGCTCAAAAAAGGGGACTGGTTCTAACTGTCAGTTCAAAACTACAGCCCAAAAGCTCAAACACAAGGTTGATGCTACATAACGTTACATCCTAGAGGTGGAGAAGGAGGTCAGATCCATATTCATGGTCCATGATGCAAAAGCGTAAAGAGGGCACCTGCAAACACACAGGGTCCAGGGTGATGGAACCTCCAGGAGGCAGGTATGGTCTTTCACAGAGCAGTGACACCAGGTCAGCACCTCTCTTGTCCCAAAGGACAGCCATCTCATTTCTCTCAGTGATGCCATTCCCCTTGCACACCCCACTCCCTAAGGATGAAGGACACCTTAGCAGTGTCACCTGGATGACTAGAACACCCATCAGACATACAAATAACCATCACACACGACACGATGATTTAGAAATCAGTTCTATCTGTTGAAAGTAGCTTAATGAGACCTGATAGAACTATTCTGGGATATCCATATAATGGGTTCTGGAACCAAAGGGACTTGGATAAATTTTTTCCCGCTAGTCTTATTTTAAACAGCTCTACAGTCATCTCCCCATCCTTCCTTATCCTGCCGCACAGAGCTACCAGTCTGAGAGTCCCACAGCCTGTCAGGCTTTCCCTTTACCCTGTTCTGGCTGATACAGCAGCAGCATGTTGGCATTTGCCTTATTTAATGATGCTGGATATGGAGAAAGGACTCAGGAGGGCAGATATCTGCTGAGTGTTAGTTTCCCAGGCAACTCCATGGTTTTGGTTCTTGGGGAGCAGAGATGAGGTAAGGAGTATGGACAGCGTTTTATGAAGGAGGAGGCTGTTGCCTTCCTTGCAAGCTTTCGATGATAAACTGGACTGACTCCACGGCATCAGAAAGGCCCTACTATTCAGCAACAGCCAAGTCTTCATTTTCATTTCAGCTCCTTTAGAGTCACAAAAGGCCAAGGTGGATCCATGGATTCTGGCATGGGCACTTGCTTTTTCAGTATGATAACTGAGCTGCTGAGGTAAATTCTTTGTCACCTACAGAATGTCCTTGAGGAACAGCTGGACCCTTCTGGGGAATGCTTGTCAGAAGGGTGAAGATGAGTACATTTGGTGCCCACAACTAAGATAGTGGCTTCTGGGACTTCAGATCACAGATTTTCCCCAATACTTTGCCATAAAGACCCACAAAGCCTGAATTTAAGTTCTGGCCCTGCCTGGCCCTGGAGCCTGGAGCCTGGAGCCTGGAGCCTGGAGCCTGGAGCCTGGAGCCTGGAGCCTGGAGCCTGGAGCCTGGAGCCTGGAGCCTGGAGCCTGGAGCCTGGAGCCTGGAGCCTGGAGCCTGGAGCCTGGAGCCTGGTCTGGTTCCAGCTGGATACAGGCTGTAGTACCAAGAAGCCATATTTTGGCAGGGTTTTTGCTAAGGAGCAAAGAGGCAAGTGTTTTATGTATGCTTCTGAGTGCTGAAGCAGCTCTGCAGGCAGGCCTCTGGCTTTCAAAGAGGCTCCATGCATTTCCTCTGAGGTCATCACTGTGTAGGTACAAAGAGTATCACAACATACACAAAAAGTCAAGTTTTCTACTTAAAGTATAAGTTGCTCCTTTGGACAGATGAACAATTTAGCTGTTTCTTGAAATGTCACTCAGCTGCAGGGGTGTGTGGGAATTTCCATAAGAAAATGCCAAGTGCACAGAGCAAAAGGTGTATTCCTATAGCACGCTGCTTCTTGTTTTGTGTGTGGTGATGATATGATGGACATTTCAGTCTATAGGAGTGTGCTATTCACATGTGGTGCCTGTAAACATGATGTGTCTGTGTGTGTACGACTGTGAGCATGTGAAGCTATGCATGTGGAGGGAGAGGGAGATTTCCAGCTCTTTCTCTCTCTCTCCACCTTATTTTTGAGAGATAGCTCACCTCTCACTGACCCTGGAGCTCCATACTTTAGCTCACTAGCTGGTTAGCAAGCTCTGGGGAGCCACACATTTCTGCCTCTCCCATGTGCACACTGCTGCACCAGCCTTTTACATGGGTGCTGGGATCTGATCCCAGGCCCTCACACATGTGCAGCAACTATTTCTCCTGGGCCATCTCTCCAGTCCAATTTTTCCAGCTGTTTATCTGTACTGTTAATGTGAGTCATGCCTGGGAAGAGGTACTATGTGTTCAGCCTTCTGTGAGGACCTGAGGACCCTGAAACTGGGCCTCCAGGGAAGACAAGCATGGCCGCAGCAATCTGTGACAACTTTCACATCCTCGCCTCCACTTTCTCTCCCAAGATGTCCCCAAAATGTAATCCAGGGGAGACTAATGTGCCTATTAGTTGTCAACACCTCAGAGCAGTGGTCCCCAATAACTTCTACCAACCCAACTGCCACTCCTAAAAGCTGCCACCAAGAGGGGAAGGAAAAGACACAGGAAAAGGTGAGAATCTGATGGCATGGAAGGGCATGAACTGTCTCTCAGTCCTACCTATGCAAGGTGAGTCTCCAACCCGGCCAACCATTTTATTGACAATTCCCCCAGTAGAGGTCGCATAAGCCAAGTTTCCTCTGCAGTCCAAGGCAACAGCACCCACCGTTCCCAAGTTTCTGCCAAAAATAAGCATAAAAAGGAAGAGAATGAGGATGAAGAACAGTCCCCAAGTGACACCGTGACTCAAAATTGCTTAAATGCCCACATTATATGCTAACATCCTGGCCTCAAGAAAATATTTGTTTCTTATTCTACATGTTACAGTGGGCAGATGTCCACCTGGTCCTTTAAATTTCTACTTTAGCTGGGCGTTGGTGGCGCATGCCTTTAGTCCCAGCACTCGGGAGGCAGAGGCAGGCGGATCTCTGTAAGTTCGAGACCAGCCTGGACTACCAAGCGAGTTCCAGGACAGCCTCCAAAGCCACAGAGAAACCCTGTCTCGAAAAACCAAAATAAATAAATAAATAAATTTCTACTTTAGAGTGTGCTTCCATCTCAGAAATCAGGAGGCAGAAGGCAGGTGGGTCTCTGTGAGGTCTGAGGTCAACGTGGTGTACATAGTGAGTTCTAGGCCAGCTAGTAGACCCTGTTACACACACACACACACACACACACACACACACACACACACAATTATATGTTTCTTTCACTTTTTTATGTGGCTACCAGAAAAATTTAAATGACACACGTACTTCTTATTGAGATGGAGACACACACAAATTTAACTCTTGGAGAGATGGCACTAATTCACGTATACCTCCAGAAGCTTAAACTGAAGCAAAGAAGTGGACTGTTGCACTGTGAGGGAACATACTTCATGGTATAAGTACTATACAAGTTGTCCCCCCGCCCCATTACCTAAGTCCTGCTGTTTGTATCTTCCCAGACTCCCCAAAAGTGTTTGTTTCTGATGTCAAAAGTGGCACAGCCCAGAGACTTTGGGCAAAGGAAGCCTTTGCTTCTAAGAGGGGATACCAGACCAGCAGAAAAGCTTTTCCTTCTTTGAGGCTGCACAGTGTTAGTAACAGGAATGGAAGCCAGGGGCTGTCAGTCATTCTGGGTCGATGCTGAGTGACAAAGATTCCACATGCATCCTGTAATAAACTGTTTGATCTCTCTAAAGTGAAGAGCCCAGGGTAAGAGGCCACTCATTTATATTTAAGAGTAGCATTGTCTGGTGCAGATATATAGTTCGAGATGTTTTTTTTCTGTTAGTGCTGGGCATTGAGCCCAGGGCTTTATGTACACTAAGCACATAATCTACTCCTGAACCACACCCTCAGCTCACACACAACTGTCAGAAAGCTACTAATAGGAGGGCAGTTTGGAAATGAACATGAAGCACTGGCCCAGCAGCCTCACCCCTCTGACTGTAGCCCACAGATGTTAAGAGCCTCAAGTCCTAGTACCTGGGAAGCTGAGGCAGGAGGATTGCAAGGTCCAGGCTTAGCCTGGGCTTCATAGCATGACCCTATCTTGGAGCAAGTGGGAGAATAATAGTTTGTTAACATCTTCAGTCTCATAACCTGGAAAGGCATCAGAATTATTTCAGAGATTCGCACATTATACCTGCTTGGCCTCTCTGCCTCAGACCCATCAAAACTGATTCTTTGATGAAGGGGACCACACACACACCCACACACCCACACCCACACCCACACACACCCCCCCCACCCCCCCCACACACATAGTCTGAATATATATATTCTGCCTAGGTTCTCTGAAGGTTGGTGTCTGCTAAACTATAGCAACTTTGTACTGTTATGAGACTGAATCCTATTCTCTTAAGAGCTTCTGGATTCTACTGAATTATTATTACTTTTGGAGCTAGGGTCTCACTCCATGGCTCAGGCTGTCTTGAAACTTGTCCTCTCGTCTTGTCTCCTGATGGCTGGGATAGTGTTTGTGTGCCATCAAACCTGGCTAGCAACTTTCTGCTTAACCGTGCCAGAGAAAACTTAATCCAGTTTCTTGTGCATACAGGAGGAATAAATGAGAGCAAAATTACGGCTAAGGAGAGCTGCCTTCCCTCCATAGAGTTTCAGTTACTCAGGGAACACGGGTGAGAGGACCCTGCCAAACTCCCCACCTGTATGACTTGGGAAGTCTGGATGGCATCTGGAACTTACTTAGGGCAGTCAGTTTTCTCGGCCCCCTTCTCAAGCTTCTCTTTCTCTAGGTGCTTCTTGCTTCTCTCAGTTATCAGTTTTTCTACAGGTATCTCTGGAATCCCCATGTCTGCTGCAAACTTCTCTGCACCATGGCCAGTAAGAAAGCAGTGAGGTGTCTAAACCAGAGTGGGAGGGGAGAAACAAGTTTTTTTGTTTTAAATATATATATGTATACACATATATATTTACAGTTTACCTGTTCTATGGTGTGCAAATAATTATTTTTTTTAGTGTTAAATGCCCTAAAGTGAAAACTGAACTGTATCCCCCCTTTTTTCTCTGTGCTGATAGTCAATCCCAGAGCTTTGGTGAGCTCTAGTGAAATGATCTGTCGCTGAGCTGTGCCAGGAGACAACACAGTCAGCAGGTGTCACACAGTTATTAGTCATTAAACAGGATCAAAGTAATGGCTAATCTGTGGCAGTCTAACTATGTATGTCTCCTGTGCATGTTTAGAACACAAAGCTCCAGCATTGCTCACATTCCAGCCCATTCACCTCAGAAGTCCAGCAGGAGCAGCTCTCAGGAAGTGAGGCTTCCATCATACCTACCTTTTCCATAACAAGGCGTGCAAGTTTAATGGGATTCTCGATACAGCGCACGGCAGACACCGCTCCTGCAGACAGGTCCTTCCCATCCATGATACTAGCGTCCATCTCAATGTCACCTTTCACATTTAGGACAGACCCACAACCTAAATCAAGAAGATGAAAAGCAAGAGTGAAAAATTTATAAAAGACTTCAGATTTTCCTCCAACTCACCCCTTTCAACCATCTTTTGTTCTACTGCTAGAGGAGCGTTGTGAAAACACATCTGACTTGGTACCTATTGTTTTGGATATACATGGTTTGTCTCCCAAAGTTCTCCAGGACTGTAGCACTGAGGTAGGGGAACTTTTAAGAGGTGGGGCCTAATGGAAGATAATTAGGTCATGGCTCCACCTCATGCAGAGTTGGTCTTATATGATTGCATTCACTCAATCAAATAAAGGTCATCTCTAAAGTCTTACAGGCAACATCATACTTTATGGTGACAGCTCAAGTGTTTCTCTCTGCAGATGGCCAAAAGGAAGTATGCAACTTAGTCCTTGTTTCTTTTTATAGACACCAAATAGATTTAAGTCAACATAGAAAAATCAGTAGTATTGTTTTGCAAGCAAATGACACAGACTACTTCATTGATCTGTGTAAGTGATATGAATTAGTAGAAAAGAATAGTTAAGAGAAAGAATAAAGATATTGCCCAAACTGAACAAGTGGGATAAAGTAGACAGGGGTAAACTGGGTGATGATGGCCTAAGGAACCAATGGTACCTAATAAAAGATCTAACACCTAATTTACTGGAGTCCCTAAAGGAGAGAGGGAAAGTCTAGGTTTAAAAAGCATTCAAGGAAGTGATGACTGAAAATTGTCCACATTTGACAAATGGTCTAAATCTACAAATTCAAAAGGCTGAGCAAACCCCATACTATTAAGCACAAAGAATATAAAAATGTCTTGAGGGGGTCAGGGATGATAAAGTGCTTTGTGAGGGTTCAATCCTGCGCCCTGGAAAAACAGTCTTGAAAGTAGCAAGAAAGAAATGACACCTTACCTATAGGGGAAAACCAATTATAATGACAAAGGATTTCTCAGCAGAAACCATAGAGGCCAGAAAGAGGTACAGCATTTTCCAAGGACTGAAAGAAAAGAACTATCAAATCAGAATTTTGTGTCTAACAAAATACCCTTCCTATGCACCTATAAAATCTAGACTGCACTAGTCTGTTTGGGCTACTATAACAAGATACCCCAGACTGTTACACAACAGAAAGTTACATCTCAATCTGCAGCCTGGGAAGCCCAAACTCAAAGTGCCTTTTTCTGAGTTCACTGCATTCCAATGCTCTCTCCTGGTGCTACAGTAAGGAGAGTAAGCTAATGAAGATCATTTGTGTGTTCTTATGAGTGCTGGCATGGTGCACCATGGTATAGATGTGGAGGCCAGGGAACCACCTCTATCTTGTTTTAGACAGGTCAAGTATTCACCACTGTACATACCAGGCTGTTTGGCCCATGAGCACCTGCTGATTCTCCTGTCTCCACCTACCATTGTGCTGTAGGAGTGCTATAATTACAAATGTGGTCTACTGCGGATTTGTGTGGTTTCTGGGGATTCAAATTAGGTTCACTCAATTGAACACTTTACCCGAGGAGCCATCCCCAGTTTGTTTTTTTTGTCTTTTTAAAAAATTATTTATCTTATATGTGTGGATGTTTTGTCTTTATGTATGTCTATGCACCACGTGTGTGCCTGGTGCTGTTGGAGGACAGAAGAGGTTGTCAGTACCCCTGCAACTGGAGTTACAAACAGCTGTGAGCTACCATTGGTTGCTGGAAATGGAACTCAGGTCCTCTGGAAGACAGCCAGTGCCCTTAACCACTGAGCCATCTCTCTAGTCCCTTTGGTTCTTTTTGTAAGAATGCTCATCCAGTTAGATCAGAACTCTGTCCCAAGTCCTCACTTAATGTGAACAATTTCCTTAGTGGCCCTATCTCCAGATCCTGGCATAGTGGGAGATCCTGGGTTCAACATTAGAATTTTGTAGGGGCACAAACAGTCTACAATATAGATGGAGGAAAACAGAATCTGTTGCCAGTGGACCTAACCCAGAAGAATGGCTATAAGAGGCCTTGAAGCAGAGAGGCAACTTTGGAAGAGGAATCCTACAAAACCAAGATAGAAGAACCAGCTTCAGAGAAAGTGAAAAGTTGGGCAAGTGCAGTGGGCTTGCCTTCTCCTCTATGTTTGTTTGTTGGTTGATTGGTTGTTGCAAAAAATGACAACAAGATCCTGAAATTGTTCCCAATGTACCCAGGAAAGAAAACTGGAAGCAATTGGAAGGTGAACCTTAACTTAGCCCCGGCTGAGTACAGACGTACAGTCTCTGCATTTTGCCACTTCTGCAGATCAAACCCCTAAAATTTTATGCCAGGATATATACTCACTACTATTGATAAAGCAAAATAGATTTCTAAAACCGATGTTTAAATAACAAACAGAAAAATGAGGGTAAATAGATCTCAAAACATAGTAGCTGTTGTAAGGCGCTTAGCCTATCAGTACTTGTATAAAATGCAAATATTCTAAATGGACTCACTGAAAGGCAGACAATTTTTTTGGTCCAACTGAGAGATTATAAAAAAATTTACAGACCAAACTAATATATGTAATAAAAGATTTCTGTCTAGAATATACAAGTAGCTTATGAAACATCGTAATAAGGGGGAAAACACTTAAAAAATGACAAAACCCTTTTAGCAGACACATCTTCAATCTGTTTCTTTGTCAGAAGCTGGTAAATAAGTTCCCTATATTTTACTGGCTGCTCTGGCAGGCACATGGGACCTGAATCTGTAGGACTGCACCAGTCTGAGCCCTCGTTATTTGTCTGTTGTTCCATCAGCTACACTGGAAACATGCCCCCAGCTGCTATCACATATGTCATCACATGTTTCTCTACACTGATGTGGCAAGACTCAAGACCATCTGGACATCATGTTGATACTCCAGTTGACCTTGGCATCATTATGATCTTCTAATGTTAAAAAATGCATACCCATAGGTGCCAGAGCAGATCCAACCACGTCCAAGTCAGTGGCAGCCTGGTTACTGAAGACCCCCCCCCCACTTCTTTTTGAAAAGCTATAATGACAGTATGCATTACCCCACCTCCAACACCTAGCCCAGCCCCAGTAAAAACACACCAGGATTTTTGCTCGGGAAGGATCATGTCTCTAGAGCATGAAGTTGCCTTCTTCACTCTTGGTCATTTAACACCCCCACCACACACACAGACACACAATGCTTATTTGCATGTAGTACCAAGCAGGACATCTGCAGATTCAGTGGCAGGATTTCAATTTAGTCCTGGTAGATAAGTGAGAAGTGTCAGAACAGACCAGGGCTTGCACCACTTTCCCCTCCGTACAACTGATCTGTTTTTGTTTTGTTTTGAGACAGGGTCTCTTTACACAGTCCTGACTGTCCTGGAACTCACTTTGTAGACCAGGCTGGCATCGAACTCACAGAGATCCACCTACCTCTGCCTCCGGAGTGCTGTGATTAAAGGTGTCTACCACCACACCTGGCTTGGCTGATTATTGCTATTCTTCATAACACGTGAGCAAATAAAGAATTTGCCTGAACTTTCCAGCCATCATAGAAAATGACTGAACCTGATCAGGGCAATACAGAAAACCCAGTTTGTAGCCACAATGGGCAGAAGTATAACTAACCTGGGAACCCAATATTTGTGACTGGTGTTTTCAGTAGGGGACAGTTTTGTGTAACTGAGTCCTTAATATATTGAGTCTATATTAATTCCAGGTAGAGCAGTGGTTCTCAGCTTTACTAATGCTGCATGCGACCTTTTAATACAGTTCCTCCTGCTGTGGTGACCCCCAACCATAAAATTATTTCGTTACGGCCGGGGCGGTGGCAGCACATGCCTTTAATCCCAGCACTCGGGAGGCAGAGGCAGGCGGATTCCTGTGAGTTCAAGGTCAGCCTGGTCTACAGAGCAAGTTCTAGGACAGCCTCCAAAACAATACAAAGAAAGCCTGTCTCGAAAAACCAAACCAAACCAACCAACCAACGAAACAAACAAACAAACAAAAACCCCAAAACAACAACAACAACAACAAAACCCAAAAAGAACTGTAATTTTGCTACTGTCATGAATCTGAATGTAAATACCCTGATATGTAGGGTCTGTGAGCCACATGTTGAGAATCACTGAGGTGGAAAAACAGTTGATTGGGATCCAGAGTGTTAAAGAACTTGTGGTATTAAAAACCCTGTTTCGAGGGGGGGGGAACAAAAAAAAACCCTGTTTCATATATGGATTTTAGATGTGGAGCAGGGGAGTGCCAGCCTACAGTCCCACTGCCAGAGTCTGGGAAATAGGAAGGACCATAAGAGAGATGTGCATGGTACGTACCCCAGAGAAAGGGAATGGGACCGGATCTCGTGAACAGTTTGGGAGCATGGGGGAGGAGGGTAGAGGGAGCTGGGAAAAAGACAGGAGGAGAAGAGGAGCGGAGAAGAGGATATGGGGGAGCAGGTTGAGTCGAGGGAAGAATAGAATAGAGGAGAGCAGGATGAGAGACACCATAATAGAGGGAGTCATTATAGGTTTGAGAAGAGAGCTGGCACTAGTGAGATTTCCAGAGATCTACAAGGATGACACCAACTGGTAAATTAAGCAATACTGGAGAGGCTACTTTAAAATCCCTTCCCCAATAATGAGTTTACGACTACCTTATATGCCATCCTAGAGCCTTCATCCAGTGGCTGATGGAAGCAGAGGCAGACACCCACAGCTAAACACTGAACTGAACTGGAACCCAGTTGCAGAGAGGGAGGAGTGATGAGCAAAGGGGTCAAGACCAGGCTGGTGAAACCCATAGAAACAGTTGACTTGAACAAGAGGAACTCATGGACCCCAGACTGATGGCTGTGAGGCCAGCATGGGACTGATCCAGACCCCCTAAGTTTGGGTCAGTGAGGAAGCCTTGGCAATCTATGGGGCCTTGGGTAATAGATTAGTATTTTATCCCTGGCATAGGAATGGACTTGGGAGCCCATTTCACATGGAGGGATGCTCTCTCAGCTTGGACACAAGGGGGAGGGTCTAGGCCCTGCCCCGGATAATATGACAGACTTTGGAGATTCCTCCCTGGGGAGCAGAGTGGGCATTGGGTTGGGAGATTGGAGGCAGGTGGGGGAGGAGGGGAGGGAGAGGGAGCTGGGATTGACATGTGAAACAAGCTTTTTTCTAATTTAAATAAAAATAAAAAGATAGAAGGGACAGAAAAAAATGGTAAAGAAAACAAAAAACCAACAAACAAACAAACCAAAAACTCCTGCTTCAGGCTGGGGAGATGGCTCTGTGGCTAACAGCACTGGTTGCTCTCCCAAAGAATCCAGGTTCATTTCCCAACATTCACATTGTGGCTCACAACTGTGTATAAACTCCATTCCCAGGTGGTCCAACACCTTCTTCTGAGCTTTGAACGTACCAGGCATGCACAAGGTACAAAAATATACATTCAGGCAAATACTTGTACACATAAAAACAAATAAAAAAGCAACAAAACAAACCCCCCAAACTACACACACACACACACACACACACAATATTTAACATCATTTACCATTTTTTAGAAATGCAAATGAGCACTAGAACACATGTTTATCTTGACTATTAGGCTGGCTAAAGTTAAAACAAAACAAAACAAAACATTCCATCAGAGTGTGCTCTTGGAAACAGAAGAAGGCGTTCATAATCACAGAGTTTGCAAGTTGCAAGTTTCTAATAAAGTTAAATATTCTCTTGTCAAATTAGACCACAATCTTTCTTGAATGTCCAAGAAGAAGTAAAACTTTTGTTCATATAAAAATCTTCCATTTGTGTTTATGGTGATTTAATTTAAAGTGTGTCCAGGTGGACCATGTTCAGCTGCTGAATGGCTACCCAAGTGGTTGTACATTTACCAGGAGGGTCCAGTATTTGACATTGCAATACAACATTGCCATCTCCAAAGTTCACACTCAAGAGTCACATAATTTGAGTTAAAAAATTGTGAAAAACAAAACAAAACAGGTTTTAAGTAAGTTTATGGTTCTGTATTGGGCTTTCCTTGGCTGTGATGGACATTCCAGATAGTGGAATATTGTTAGACATAAAAGGGTGAAATCATGGATCCCTCCAGCTATGGAGATCACTAACACATTATGGTAAGCAGAGCCCAGATGTAACAACTTACCATAACACATGGTCTCACTGTGACAATGGCAAAGGCAAAAACCACAGGCATAGAAAATAATTGCCAGCAGGGTATATGACTGCACAGAATATAGACTCAAAGGCATGGAGCAATGGGACTTTTTATGTCTTTATTGGGCAATGGTTATTATACTATATATTTGTCACAGGCAAACTGTATTTAGGAAAGGGAATTTTGTTGCATGTAAATATATGAGGTTAAAACATTAAAATTGATTGGCTTGTAAATTTGGTGACACCTCAGAACCACCTGGAGGTTTCAAAACAAAGGCAAGAGAAATACATTCCTAGCTCTTATACTTAAACTTTTTTTCTAAAATTTTTAGATGTGTTTGGTTATGAATAAATTTTTTTTTGGTTTTACGAGACAGGGTTTCTCTGTTTTGGAGGCTGTCGGTCCAGCCTGGCCTCGAACTCACAGAGATCCACCTGCCCCTGCCTCCCGAGTGCTGGGATTAAAGGCGTGCGCCACCAACGCCCGGCTATGAATAAAATTTTATGTGCTTCCAAGTGTGTATCCAGTTTCAATGTTCTGTACAAATCACCGGAAAATATGTAGGAAAAACAAACTGTGTTTCCCTTTCTATACTCATGTACACTCTGGCCACCTAGAATGCAGCAGGGTTTTGCTTTATTTTTGGTTTTGTTGCAGGTTTGGGTTTTTTTTTTTTTTTTGTAATTTATGTGCTTGAGTGTTTTCCGGCATGTGTATTTGTGCGTCTCAAGCATGCCTGGTCTTTCTTGTAAGCAGACATAGCTTAGACTGACCCCACAGGCATGGCTGTGGCTCCACCCTGCCGGCACGGTGAATGAATCAAAGCACCCTGGAAGGTCTCGATCTGTGGACAGGCTGATTGACTCACAGAATTGCTCATTGTCAGAGCATCTAACAGAGTCAAGGCAGCAGAGCAAACAGTACGCACCTGATGATTAATTGGTTAAGATATCCCAAATTTTTTTCCCATGATAGATGGTGTGTGGGTGGTGCAGTCCCAAGAAGTATTTAATCTTAAGATCTTAGGTTTTCTATTTAAAAACAAAAGAAATAAATGCTTCCACAGTAAGCGAATCTTTCTGTGTCTGCAGTGTTCTGAGAGATGATCAAAGTAATTACGGTTACTTCACAGCACTGTAGGGAAACTTAAATGAGTTAATCTTCTGAATGTCTTAGACCACTCCTACCTGGGATGTACAGACACACTAACTATGGTGATCAGTATACTGGAACACGGTCAAACACAGAATAACTCATTGTGACTGCATTTATATGAGTTTTTAGGAAATGCAAACTATTTTACTCTGACAAAGCACATCAAAGGGCTGATGCTTGTGACACAGGACGAGAGACAACGAAGGGGCAGGAAGGAGCTGCAGGGCGTTTCCACATCCTCAGAATTTACTTCTCACTTAGAGAAGCGAGTCCCTTCCTCACATCAGTGCTCTGGCGGACACTGACCAAATGAAGAGTCGGATGTCACAGGTTAAGGGGCTCAGTCCCCTAAGATTGCTTCCTTACTTATGTCAGTTCTAAGCAGTGATCCATACTTCCACCAGAGAACTGCAAGCCTCCTTAATTTTCCAGTCCTGTCAGACATAGTACCAGCATGTTATATAAAGGAGACAGTCGGACAGCAAGATCAAGACACACTCAGGTCAGAGTCAGGAAGGGTCCTCAGTGCTGGGCCTTCTTTTGCTGTGGAGTTGGGACTGGCACATGACCATACTCACTAACTTGTTCTCCCAACCCCCAAATTCAGGGATTTTTTTTGGACTGCTTGAGTGTGAGGGCCCCCTTGTCTTTCCCTGAGGATACGAGGGACTGTAAATCCCAAGCTTCCACTTATGGCTTGGTCTGTAAAAAGGAAAAAAAAGACTCTACCTAGAGACCTATCCAAAGTCAATTTGCTAGTTAGAACGATGATTAGGGACTTTATTATCTACTAGAGATCAGATATTGTAATAAAGGGCTCTTCCAGCATCTGTTCGGGATTTCTGAGCCTAAAAGCGGGGAGGCAAAGAACACACACAGAGATACTCACATGCTTCTTAAAATCAAATAGCTACATTTTATGGTATGTTAGGTCTACTCCAAGGCCCACAGATATAAAAAGTCTATACCTGTAACCCCAGCACTTGAATTTGAGGCTATGGAGGGCCCCCCAGAAAGATGCTTGGCTTTTGGCATTGAATCCTTGGGCAGCAGGTTAAGTAAAGGGTGAATTAATAGACGTAAAAATTCTCAAAACAAGTTGCTTAATGCAGAATGAGAAAATTCAATACTGCATATTGTCCCAGTATACTGTTTGACCACAAAGCCAGCCAGACTGAGGGATACTGTGCCTATTTGGGTAGGAGCTTGCCCCGATTTGACATTATTCACTAGGCAAAGCACAGTCTACCTGCGTTGAACTCTGGATCATTTTCCAGGACAATCACGGCTCCTTCCACAGCATCAACTGCACTCCCTCCGGCCTTGAGGATGTTGTAGCCCTCGGTGGCTGCTCTGGTGATACCCTCGCGTACCCGCTCTTTCCGGTCGGCTGAGATGTTGCTGGCTCCGCCACCATGGACTACCACCACGAGACTCACGTCGATGGAGCCTAGGAATCAGGAAAAGGCAAGTGTCATTTCGAACTGGTTCAAGAGAACCGACCCGAGTGACGAAGTCTTCAGTTTTTCTAGACTGCGAAGAGGGGAGGGGCAGCTCGGTGTAAATTATGCACGAAAAGTCCAAAGTGACCCCTGGTCCCCAGCATTTCTCCCATACTACCCCACTTTGATCCCGGAGTATGGACGGCCTGGGCATTTGTGGCTCAGAATGCTGGGTTTCAGGTCTCTGTCTCTGTCTCTGTCTCTGTCTCTGTCTCTGTCTCTGTCTCTGTCTCTGTCTCTGTCTCTCTCTCTCTCTCTCCCTCTCTCTCTCTCTCCCTCTCTCCCTCCCTCCCTCCCTCCCTCCCTCCCTCCCTCCCTCCCTCCCTCCCTCCCTCCCTCCCTCCCTCCCTCTCTCTCTCTCTCTCTCTCTCTCTCTCTGTCTCTCTGTCTCTCTCTCTCTCGAGTCCGCGCCTGTGCCACAGAGCTGATCCTCAGCCTCAGTTTTCCCGAAACACCAGTCTCCATCCGGTGTTGGGTCACTGGTATTCAGGACTCACGTATCACAGCTCCGGTTCTCCTCCCAGGTTTCTCTCTGTGCCTCCCAGGCTTCTCTCTGTGACAAGTGTCCCCGGGGTACGTGCTCTCTGCTCCGGTTCCCTCTGCCAAGGGGTCCCGGACAGCCTGAGGGCTGGACCTTCCCATGTCCTTTGCACCTAAGCTTCCCCGCCTTTGGTAAATCCTACATTTCTGTTCTTGTTCACTCTTTTACCTCGGGCTGACTCCTCCATGGAGCCGCGGACGGATGGCACACTGTCTCGGAGTGTGGCGGTCGCCAGGATGTCAAGCTGGCTAAGCCACTAGGCAGCAAACCGCTTGGCCTTCAACCGCTGGGCGGGCAACGGTTCCACGCCTGTGCACGAGGGTGAGGTCGCGGTGCCACCGAGTTACCGTAAAGCCCCGTGGTGCCTTCCGCTGCGCACAAGACTCCTATGGCTCCAGATCCACCTAGCAACGCTGCTCATTGACCTCCCTAGAAGCATGCAGTACCCTCTGTCTGCTGTACTTTACAATTATTGCATGCTACTAAGTCTTGCTAATTACTATTCTAAATTAAAACCTCTTCCCTATAAGTGCCCCCATTCTAATCTTTCGTGAAGAGCAAAAAATAAAGTCTGTAACTTGCCTGGCTCTATGCACTAGATACCTGGAGCACCTGAAAACCCCAGTTCAATTCCTCCTCTAAGCCTCGGGACTCCAGTTCTAAATCCCTTCTTCTCCCAGTGCCCTTATTTTGTTGACATGTGTCTTTGCCCTGCTTCCAACATTCTTTAAAGTCATGTTACATCAGTGGGAGAAGACCAAAAACCTTTTATTCACCTAGCTGATTCTAGATTCTAGTTCTGTTCTTCTAATAGTAGAAGGAGGGAGAACAGATCACCCAGAGGCGGCAGCTACAAGCTACTGCAACAGTGACATACTTGAAGGATGCTTTACAATGTAAAGCAATTTTATCTGAATTATGAGTTTGGTTTTTCATAACTTTTATAGCAGCTTTAGGTTTACTGCAGGAATATTTTCATTATCAATTTGCTTTCTACGTTTATTGGCTAGATGTGTTGATGTCAAAGGTAGACTTTCACTTTGCAAGCCAGGGTAGCACAGGCTCATGTGTTACTGAGAGACTAAGTATATACCAGGACAAGGAACTGCAGTTATGTAAGAATTCCGAATCATTAGTTCTGTAGTTTTGAATAACAAACCATAACCTCAGGAATGATGGCTCCAAATGCTCAGGACTGGGTGGGTAAGTGTCAACTTCCCTAATATTTTTTCTTATTTCCATCTCACCACCAACCAAAGAAAAACCTGTATTGATTTCCCCTAACCATCACAAAGAGCAATCCCTCCTAGTTAGTCTATCCCTAGCTTCCTTGGGCCAACAGCATCCAAACAGGACACACCCGAGGCTTCTTGATGCCCTAGAGACTTTTCCTACCCTTTCCCTGCTTTTGTCTCTGTCAAAGCAAGTGACTGGCTGATTACTTTGCAATAGCAAGCTCTGAGTAGCTTTGTGTTGTCCTTGTTGGGGTGGATTTAATTTACTAGTGCATAAATAGAGATCTCTAATGCAGAAATATTAAACTACACAAAATATTTTATTGAGAAAGAAATCACTTACTATCAAAGGCCCCATGGACTACCGAGGCCTCCTCACTGACACCCATGTTCAGAGGGTTTGGGTCAGTCCCATGTTGGCCTCTCAGTCACCAGTCTGGGGTCCAAGGGCTCCCCCTTGTTCAGGTCAGCTGCCTCTGTGGGTTTCACCAGCTAGGTCTTGAAATAGATTTTTTAAAATTTAAATTACGAACAAGCTTGCTTCATGTGTCAATCTCAGCTCCCTTTCCCTCCCCCAACTCCCCAAACCCATACCCAATCCCCACTCTGCTCCCCAGGGAGGGTGAGGACCTCCATGGGGGAATCTCCAAAGTCTGTCATATCATCCTGGGCAGAACCTAGGCCCTCCCCCTTGTGTCCAGGCTGACAGAATATCCCTTGATGCGAAATGGGCTCCCAAAGTCTATTCCTATGCCAGGGATAAATACTGATCTTCTATCCAAGGCCCCATAGATTGCCAAGGCTTCCTCACTGACCCAAATTTAGGGGGTCTGGATCCGTCCCATGCTGGTCTCTCAACTATCACTCTGGAGTTCATGAGCTCCCCCTTGTTCAGGTCAGCTGTTTCTATGGGTTTCACCAGCCTGGTCTTGACCCCCTTTGCTCATCATTCCTCCCTCTCTGCAATGGGTTCCAGGAGTTCAGTTTAGTGTTTAGCTGTCAGTGTCTGACATCGACCACTGGATGAAGGCTCTAGGATGGTATATAAAGTAGTAGTCAATGTCATTATTGGGGAAGGGCATTTAAGGTAGCCTCTCCAGTATTGCTTAGTTTACCAGTTGGTGTCATCCTTGTAGATCTCTGGAAATCTCACTAGTGCCAGCTCTCTTCTCAAACCTATAATGACTCCCTCTATTATGGTGTCTCTCATCCTGCTCTCCTCTATTCTTCCCCTGACTCAACCTGTTCCCCCAGACCTTCCTCTCCCCTCCTCTACTACCCCTCTCTTTTTCCTAGCTCCCTCTCCCCTCCCCCATGCTCCTAATCTGCTCAGGGATCCTGTCCCATTCCCCTTCACTGGGGTACCATGTATATCTTCTTATGATCCTCTCTGTTTCCCCAGAATCTCTGGTGGTGGGAGTGTGGGCTGGCACTTCCCTGCTCCATGTCTAAAATCCATATATGAGTGAGTACATGTGGGAACACCAGACCTTGAGCAGAGACCCACTTCCCCTTCTGCCTGGGAGTAGGCAGCTGTAAGACAATGTTTAGTAAAAACATGTTTACTAAAAACGATACAATAAGTTCCTGGAAAAGGCCTTCCCACGGAAACCGCCCTGACCTCGACCTTGTCCAAAGACTAACCGCACCTTCAAACCCACACACATCCACCTCTGGTGTCAGAGCAGAACCAGCCAGGGTAGAGGAGAGAGCAGAAGCTTCTCTAGTGGGAGCTTTTCTTAGGAGGTTTTCTTGAACCTTTTTGGAGCCTGTTTAAAGTTTCTTTATATCGTTGAACAAGTCTCTGTGTTGTCAATCCCCGACACCCTCCGCACGTTCTCGGACACAGGCCGCGCAGCAGACGTGACAAGTACATACCATGTTTATCTTTTTGTGACTGGGTTACCTTAGGATGGTTTCTTCTAGTGCAAATTCTAGTGAATTTGCTTGCAAATTTCAGGATTCCATTGTTTTTTTTCCCACTGAGTAGTACTCTGTTGTGTAAATGTACCACATTTTCTCTATCCATTCTTCAGTTGAGGGGCATCTAGGTTGCTTCCATGTTCTGGCTATTACAAATAATGCTGCTATGAACATAGCAGAAAAGATGTCCTTCTATGAATGTGCATGTTTTGGGTATATGCCTAAGAGTGAAATTGCTGGATCTTGTGGTAGACTGATTCCCATTTTCCTGAGGAATCTCCATAGTGATTTCCAAAGTGGCTGTACAAGTTGGCACTCCCACCAGCAGTGGAGGAGTGTTCCCCTTTCTCCACATCCTCTTCAGCATAAACTGTTGTTGGCGTTTTTTGATTTTAGTCATTCTGACAGGAGTGAGATGGTATCTCAGAGTTGTTTTGATTTGCATTTCCCTGATGGCTAAGGATGTTGAACTTTCTTAAGTGTCTATCAGCCATTTTAGACTCCTCTATTGAGAATTCTCTATTTTGTTGTATACCCCAGTTTTTAATTGGGTCCTTTGGTGTTTTGGAGACTTGCTTCTTGAGTTCTTTGTAAATTTTGGAGATCAGCCCTCTGTCAGATGTGGGGTTGGTGAATATCTATTCCCATTCTGTGGGCTGCCTTTTTGTCTTGTTGACTGTGTCATTTGCCTTTCAGAAGCTTCTCAGTTTCAGGAGGTCCCATTTGTTAATTGTCGATCTCAGTGTCTGTGCTACTTGCTTTATGTTCAGGAAGCAATCTCCTGTACCAACTAATTCAAGGGTACCTCCTACTGTTTCTTCTGAGAGCTTCAGTGTGGCTGGATTTATGTTGAGGTCTGTGATCCATTTGGACTTAAGTTTTGTGCATGGCGATAGACATGGATCTGTCTGCAGTCTTCTATATACCAATATCCAGTTATGCCAGCAACATTTATTGAAGATGCTTTCTTTTTTCCATTGTATAATTTTAGCTTCTTTGTCAAAAATCAAGTGTTCGCAGGTTAATATCAGGGTTTTCAATTGGATTCCATTGGTTTACCTGTCTATTTTTGTGCCAATACCAAGCTGTTTTCAGGACTATAGCTCTGTATAGTCAGGGATGGTAATGCCTCTGTAAGTTCCTTTATTGTACAGGGTTATTTTGGCTATCCTGGGTCTTTTGTTTTTCCATATAAAGTTAATTATTGTTCTTTCAAGGTCTGTGAAGAATTGCGCAGGTATTTTGATGAGGATTGCATTGAATCTATGGATTACTTTTGGCAAGATTAACATTTTTTTCTTTGTTGATCCTACCTATCCAAGAGCATGGGAGATCTTTCCATTTTCTGGTATCTTCTTTAATTTCTTTCTTTAAAGACTCAAACAGGTTTTTCATCTGTTTGATAAGCATTACCCCAAGATATTTATGTTGTTTGTAGCTATTGTAAAGGGTGATGTTTCTCTGATTTTTTTCTCAGCCCATTTATCATCTGTATATAGTAGGGCTACTGATTTTTTCGAGTTAATCTTGTATCCTGCCACTTTGCTGAAGGTGCTTATCAGCTGTAAGAGTTACCTGGTAGAGTTTTTCAGGTCACTTATGTAAACTATCATATCATCTGCAAATAGTGAATGTTTGACTTCTTCCTCCCCTTGATTTCCTTTTGTTGTCTTATTGCTATAGCTAGAACTTCAAATACAATTTTGAAGAGATATGGAGAGAGTGGACAGCCTTGTCTTGTTCCTGATTTTAGAAGAATTGCATTGAGTTTCTGTCCATTTAGTTTGATGTTGGCTGTTGGTTTGCTGTATATAGCTTTTATTATGTTCAGGTATGTTCCTGTTATCCCTGATCTCCAGGACCTTTATCATGAAGGGGTGTTGTATTTTGTCAAAGGCTTTTTCGGCATCTAGTGAGATGATCATGTGGTTTTTCTTTTGCGGTTTGTTTATATGGTGAATTACATTGATAGATTTTCATATGTTGAACCATTCCTGCATCCCTGGTATGAAGCCTAATTGGTCATGGTGGATGATTTTTCTGATGTGTTCTTGGATTCAATTTGCCAGTATTTTTGCATCAATGTTCATGAACGATATTGGTCTATAGTTCTCTTTCTTAGTTATATCTTTGGGTACCAAGGTAATTGTAGTCT